GGGGGGGGGGGGGGGGGGCAGACGCCTGACCATATATACTGTTTGGGGAGTCCCAGGTTATGATTATAGTATAATGGGCCCCAAAACCCCATTCTAATTATTAAGGCCCCTACATTATAGGTAACAATGTACAACTTGCAGCTAATGTGAAGTCACGTTTGCGGCTCTAAGCACTGGCATAGCATAGGTTCGGATCGGATTTGGTTCCGCCAGACATTTTTGTTTTCTAGTTGTAGGAAACAGGAGGTTCCCACGGCAAAGCTCATGCTGTTGCCTGGAAGTGCCGGGGCCTGTGGGCTTGTTATTAGTTCTCAGTATTTAACAGCCTGTATTCAAGATTTGCTTTCCGCGTTCTGCGCTTCCGGCACAGGAAGTCCGTCACTGGCCACCCCTCGACCCTAAACGTTGAACCTCAAGCCTTAAGTCCTGGGCCCTAAACCCCACGCCAGCCTTAAACCCCAAAGCCAAAGCCCTGTGTGTTGTGAGATCGAGTGCTTGACCGCCGGCCCGCAGTTGTGTTAGGACTCTATACTCGTAGCAGAAATCTCCGGTAGTTGAGCTACCCTGCTGGTATACCCTTGTGCGCCTCTGCAGAAGGCCGGGCCCTCAGGAAGCGAAGTCTCAGTCCAGGTTCTTGAACCATGCGGTCGGCGTTGTGCTTTTTGTTCTGTTTTTGTTTACCGTGTTTTTTGGAGGGCGTGGCACTGAATCGACAACTCCGAAGTACTGTGGCACAGCAACTGCGACCACCAGCACAAGCACAACGCTGCTGCTATTGCGTTGGCCACTACTGCGACAGCTTCAGCTTCAGCTACAGCTGCTACTATACAACTACTACTACTACTACTACTACGACAAACTCTCCACTTTCAGTCCCTGCGGTCCCCAAGCCCCGCTAGAAGGCAGTTGTGCTGCCAAGCTGTACCTGTCAGCGTTATGGCGTTGGAGCTCGAGCTACCGGGCCAGGTTTAAGCTGTTTTGTTGTAGCTACTGTAGGGTTTAGGGCCTTTAAGCTTTAGGGGCTTTGGGCTTAGGGTCTGGGGCCTACATTTTTGGGGTTGGGGGATTTTGGGGTGTGTTAAGCGGCGCTTGCTTTTGGTGAGGGAGAGGCTCCCGAGGATGGTGTGGCCTGGACCTGCCGGCTGCAGACTTTGGCAAATTAGAGGAGTTCAGGCGCCAGGGTTTTTGGAAGGATGGTTGTTGAGCTGTTTCTGCGCAGAACCGCGTATCATACGTGACCGTCAGGACTAGTTTGCGGCCGCTCTTGCAGTAGAGGCGCACGCTTCAAGTTCGCGGGATAATTACAGCAAGGTACATGTTGCCATCAGACTTCGTAAGATGAGAACGGCAAAACTTCCGGCATGCAACGCTCTGTAGTGCTGTAGCAGTAGCACCAACTAGCAGCTAGAAGGATCATCATCATGCACAGAAGGCAAGTAGTCCAGGAACGTGATTCATAGATCCGCAACCCCCTCCACCCCAAACCCCGCTAAACCCAAACCCTGAACCGCCCTAAAACTTAAACCCTCTTATACCCTATAAAGCCTCAGAGCCTTGCAGACACCCTATTAAACCCTCCTCATGCCTGAGCCTTGTTTGTGAGACTCTGCCAAGGTATCGCGGGACTTTTATCGACGTAAAAGAGGACCCTTTGGAGGGTGCGGGCTCCGTTGTGCTTTGGCAGAAGAGATGTCCATTATAGGGGCCTTAGCAGTTCCAACAGGGTGTCTCTACGGGGTTTAAGGGCCTTCATAGCGGTAAAAGGATATCACTCATGTCGACTTTCTATGAATATTCACCCGCTCTGGCTTGGTTTAAGGCCCAGGCAGGCAGAATTGACTGCATAGTAGGGGTCCCAATGCCAGTACGTTCGCTGACTCTCTCCGCGACTCCAGGAGGGCTGACAAAAGGGGTTTTGGTCTTCATGCACACGGTACGGGTTCTCGCATCACCATCACGAGCCTCGGCACCATCAAGACCGCCACCACCGCCACCGGCAGCAGATCAAAACTTCCCTAAACCCTAGGGGTTCATACATCGAATAGTATAAGGTAATGCCAAAAAGGAACTACAATGGGGCCTATGGGTATGGATCCTAAACCTGTGGAGCCCTCTAGCGTGTCCTTTGAGGTGCGTGCGGCAAGTGCACCGGCCACGTACAGGAGGACTTGAAAGATCCCGTGAAGTGGCGGGGTATTGAGGATTCTTAAAAGGGGCCTGTATGTTTAGGGTTTAGGGTTGAGGGCTTCCAGGGACTGTATTCTTGGGTCCTTCAGGGGTCTAGGGCCC